TCCATTCCCACCTATTTTTAGGGAAGTTGCTAGAATGGATCAGAGCTGGTACTCAATAGGGAACCTCTGTCATCCCTGAGGTCCTGACACTCCTTAATTTACACCTGAGGAAAATGAAGCCCTGTGGATGCTCTGTGGCTTGCCCAAGGTCACAAAGTTCACCAAGTAGCAGGGTTGAGACCAGAACCCAGGTCCCCTGATTCGTAATCCAGTGCTCCTTCCAATGATATACCAAGCGCTTGCTCTTGAGCCTTGCACGGCATGAAATACAACCAACGTGAGGTATCTCATACATTTCAGCAGTAAAAACATATAGCAGAATTATGGGAGGGGGTTAGGGTTGTGGAGAGTGGGTGACACACAATATTAGTCCCAGCAAAGTCTGGAAATGAAGCCGACAGAGAACACGGGAAACCAGCCTTCCCCAAAGGGAGTCATCTAACAACCATAACCGATTTCATGCACGTTCTACGGATTGCACACACATTTGTACACTCGTAGGAACAACATACGCCTAACGGCAAAGGAGCTGGTTTCCCATTCCCTAATTTTTTTGGGAGGCGGCAGGGGCTGGGGGGCGCTGTGGCAGTAAGACCCTGCTCTGCACACTGAAAATGCCTTTAAGGATTTCTTTCCATGCGTGAGCTTATCCAGTGGGTCATCAGAAGTGAATGGAAATAAAAACCTGTTATTCGTGTTACAGAAGCTTTCAATTCTACTACTGCATCGTAGGAAAACAGAGTTGATCATAATGAGGGGCCCAATACTGGAGTGATGGAGAAAGGAGGGTGGAGGGAAGACCAGAAGGGCGGCAGGGTGTCAGGTTAGTAGCTGGGAAGGTTTGTAAAACCAGCGGCCTCATCAGTGCTGGTGGCGGTTGGGCTTCCTGGCGGAGTGGCCTGAGCAGCCTTTTCTGAGAAGGGCTGGGACCTGTGGTCTGACCACAGAGTGGGCTGAAACAGGCCCCGGGCTTCCCCTGGCTATCTCCAGCCTAGCCCAGTGCCAGACACACAGACATGTATAACAAAGAGACACTTGCAGGTAGGGCAGTTGCAGGCAGGCCCAGGGAAGGCCTGCTCAGAGCAAGAGCTGGAAAGAAAGTGGGCCAACACGGTCAGCCGGCGTAGAGTTGCTAAGGCAGCAGCATCTCTCTGAACAAAACTCCGCAGGCAGCTCTGAGACCTACGGGGCCTGTAACAGCCAAGAGGGTAGAAGTGGGAGGAAAGATCGGCATGGCTTGTAGCAAATTTTAATAGAAGGCATGACGCTAACAAGAGCAGAGATGCCTTAGTTGTACCAGGATGAAACCATCGGGGACCAGATGAAGGGTCAGACCAGGGGTGAGGAATGTCTTTAATTATGAATCACTGACTCATTATAATAATTCATCCGAGGGTGATGTTTAAATAACATAACCTAAATTTAAGTTTGATGGGTGAATAGAATGTGGGAGAGGAGAGGAAGATAGGGAGTTTGGAAAAGGGAAAATATAAAAAAAAGACTTGATTCATTGAGAAAATACAAGAGATTATTAAACTAATTAAACTAGTAAAACAAAAAATGTATTTCAAACACACAGAGACTGTAACACAGAGACACACAGATACATGTAGAAGGGAGAGTTGGGGACACCTGTCAGCTGGCCACTCTTGCAGGGCTCTGAATAGGCCACACTCTTCTGTTTGGACCCACCCTGGGTCCCCTTTGAACAATAAGCTTGTCCCCTCGTGATGCTCTGCTTGGTCGCCATTGTACAGGAACTGAAGTGCTCTCTAGTCTGCTGAAACCGTCTCTAGCCGCCTAAATGGCATTTAAAATAAATACTGTGAATTGATTAAATGGCCAATTATGTTAAGTACCCATGCCTGGTGTAATCCAAACCAAATCTTACCCCATTATCCTCAAAACTGAGAGGTGATTCAGCAGCCCCTCTTGCCGGTGATTCTGAACCAAAATACAGGCGCCGCACTCGACGTCCAAGAAGGACCTCGAGTACTTGCAGTTAATTCTTACAATTGGTTTTGTGCTGGAAAAAATAAGTGTACTACGTTTCCACTCTAAACCAAACAACTATTAGACCACATCGACTGGTTCCCCATTATAACTATTATGTCATTTTGATTTCAACTTCATTTCGGGTTTTAACTTCCATTCTTTCCTCTCCAGACACTGCATTATTCTTCTCCAACGTATCGTGGAACATATCATGGCATCATCCACAGGTGTCTACGCAACACTCACATTCTGCACCTACCTCATCAACTCTCTGCGGCAACGCTCTCCGGGATGCTACGTGCTCTGGCTGTTCCTTTTCTTGCGATGTCGTTTTTTTTTTTCTATTTCTACACACTCACCATTTATCTGTTTTTCAAGGTCTTGCTCAAGTATCTGTTCTTCCAAGAAGTGACAGCCCCTCTGCTCCCACCCTCCTGACAAAAATAAGTCTCCTTCCTCTCTACTTCAGGGCACATCCGCTCATTTTCCCATCCTGCATCCTTATAGTCTCAGTCCCCAGGGCCACTCCACACAGCAAGTTTTCTCCCACCCTGGTTTAGGCAGTCCTGCTTGTGACCCATAACTCATGACCTATAACTCAGGCTGGCTTCTGCTGGTCAGTCCCCGGGCCCCCAGCATCCTAAAGAGGCTCCTGTGTCACCCCCACATGACAAAACTGCTTTTCCCCTACTTCTAGGAATTGGGTTCTTTGGGGACAGGCATCCCGGTCCTACTTGCCCTCAACCCAAATCCCTGAGGCTGGAACCTATTAACAGAGTTCTTTCCTGGTCTGATTATCTAGAAAACTTTCCTTCCACTTGCTATAGGGAAAAAGAAGAGAGGTGTGCACAATTTTGAAAATGTAAAATACAAAGATTAGAAAGTGATCATAACTCAGGTACATTTTCTGCTACTTGATTCTAACCTAAACCTTCCACTAGCATGACTGGGCAGTTCCCTACTCTACATATTCCTATCTGTATCCTCAAAACTTTTGCTCAAGGGCATTAGCAACTTCTTGATGGCCCGGTACCATCCAGAAAAAGAACACGAAAATATTAATTAGGATGAACACCCATATAGTTCAAAAAATCTTATCACAACAAAAGTGTCTCAAGAACTCTATACAGATACAGCAAATGAAGAAACATCACGGAAAAGAATTAACGTTAACAAATCCCCGCCCACACTCCCAAGCTCTCACCGAGATTCTTCTGATTTTCAAATGAACAACAACAACAAAAAAATGAATGGGTTGTATTTAATTAGATGTAGATTCAATAAGCATCTGAATCTGTACTACTTCAATTCCCTGTGCCTAGAGCAACGAGGGGAATTTTTACCCTGTCAGGGAGAGCAGTCCACATGGAGACAGGATCTCACACGCCATCGGTCAACTTCAGGGACTTTACTGACATTGATATTTCTCTCATGGTTTTGCCCCACACAAACAAACAAAAAACCTAATATGCTTAGAGCAAATCTTACCTAATGTGGAACTGAATGACTAAAATCCTAAAAGAAAAGGCCCTAACAAACAAAATTCCTTTTCTCAAAATAATCCCAACACGAATGATCTTCATATCGCTGCTGTAGTTCCAGAGGAGAAATGGTGATGCACATAACTTTGAAATATACTTGAAAAGAACCCAAAGGCTGATCATAATCAGATTCCACTTACACCATCTGAAGGGAGAACAGATTTTTTTTAATTACATACTAATTTTTGAGAGCGGAGGGAGTTCCTTTTATTTTCTTAAACATTTAGGATATCTACGATGGTTATTAAATTAGAATTAACCAAACTTGCCTGACTAAATTTCACCTGTGCCAAGCAAAAATCCAATGAAATTCTTAGGTTCCCAATTTCACAGGCTATTAAAAAGACAATATGCAATTGTGTGGCCTATACATCAACAACAGAAATGTGATGACGTCTCTCACAATTGTTTGAGCTACTCTGGAAACCTGAAGATAAATGTCTCTCTTCTTAACCATATTTATATTCTACTCCTTCACACACGCTGGCCCTCGGCGTGCACTTTTAAGGGAAAGAGGCTAAGTAGCTGTAAACCAACCAAAAGGCACTAAAATCCCTCACCATCAGCCCAATGTAGTTCTAAAGCTCTTAGTACAGCCAAATCCATCTGCTTTATGGCCCGCGGTGCCAGTCTGACTCTGAGCCAACCCACAGAGGCTGGAGGGGACAGAAAACCAGAAGACCCTTGGAAGCCAGTCAATTCAAGTTTACCTACAGAACAGATATCCAAGACAGTGAGAACCCAAAAGTGATTTCTAAAAGTATTTAAAATGTATCTTTTTGTTGTTTTTAACCATTTATTCTTCTTCAGCTTTGATCATTTCAAAAGAAACTTAATAGCAAAAATACAGATCAAAGGCAATTTGAATTCCTTGAGCACACTCCATAGGACGACAGTTCAAGGCAGCTGAAGATGGGCTGGACGACAGCCAGGGTGTCATCGCAGATGGCACTTGTGGGGACCAGGGAAGGGTGACTGCTCTCCGAGCCTCAGAAAAAACCAGGGCCAACCTTCCAGGCACACGTGGACATCAGGGGACAGCCAGGAATGCGTGCATCTCCACGACGCCAAAATGCCAGGACATCCAAACCGTCCTTTGTCAGCCCATGCGTTTGAAATATGGAAAGGAGTTTGCTTTTATCAGCCCAGTCTATGACACTGTCATGTCCTAATTGCCACGTAACACCGATTTCACCAACGCAAGCCGATCACTTCTAGAATTTTGACAGCAGGCCAAAGAAGCGATCTTCAGAGGCCTAGTTTCAGACTCACAACTCACAGCAACCAAGAGACCTGAGTAGGAAGAAATAAAGAGAAGTAGACAAACAGACCCTACCCACAACAGTCACACTTCTCCAAAGAGCAACCACTCCTAAACAGGACAGAAGTCTCCTGGTTGACACCAAGCACAGAGGAGTGGTGACAGGGGGTGAGGGACAGGAGGAGGGGCTCCTAGAGACCTACCTTGGAGAAGGGCTCCGTTTCTCTTGAAGAAGGTACTGCCCGGCCAGATGGGTGGACCTGATGTGCTGAAAGACAAGAGAAACTGACATCAGGGTGGGCTCGTTTACACTCACTCACCCTCAGAATGCCCTCACACCATTTCCGCAAGTATGAATTCTTGACAGCTGCTGAAAATGTCTCTTTAAAAACCATCAGGTTTTGCTTTATTAGAAACGGGCTTCCTATTTCACAGTGCAGGACCTATCTGTGTGTGAGTATTCTGACTACGTGTCTTGATCCTGCTCACTCACACCTGAGCACTGAAGTCACCTGTAGGTCACCTAAACAGCATGGCAAATTCCTGTGGTTCTAAGGCATAGGTTATACCTGAAGAATATTTGCTAACCTGTTCATAATTTCATGAATTTAAGTGACAAAGAACTCCTATCTGTGTCTTCTGAGACCAAGTGGTTTTTCTGACACTTCCTGGTGCCATCTGCTTGTTACAAATGCAAACTTGCCTTTCTTTCTCAGCACTTCTACCACTAAATCCTTAATACACAGAGATGACCTTGACCAACTTCCTCCTTCCCCCACTGCTCTTGTTTCGTATCCTGTTTTCAATTTCTTGGCTTAAAATGTTGCACTCCATACCCTATAAAACATTTTGCAGCTATGTTACCACCCACAGTCTGGTAACAGGAGAGGCAAGAAAATAAGAAAGATCAATATATCACAAAGACACTTACTGCATCTACAGATGAGCATTTTCACTGTTTTAAGACATTCAGTGGAAAACTTTATAACCAAGCTAGTCTTAGTGAAATAACCTTAGAGTGGAAAAGAGGTTATTCTAAATCAAGGATTGGTTTAGATTAATGTTAGAATGCACTTAGTCAAAACTGTTACTACATCCAGCCCAAGAGGCAATATAAATTACTTTCACCAAAATAGTATATGGCAAATGATATTGGTTAATGCATTATCAATCACCTTCAACATTAAAAAAATAAATAATTGGTCTGAGAAATACATTTGTAAGTTCGGCAGACAGACAGACAGACAGACACACACACACACACACAGAAATCTGAAGGCTATACAACAAATGCTTCATCAGTCAACCGGAGTCTCCAGTTATGTAGGACAGCAATACTGTTAGCAAGGAGAAATGCCAACGACACATTCTGCTGACTGGAATTTCATTACCAGAGGTACAAATAGTGCAGCAGGTATGTCCCTATGGACACATTACATGATTGAGGAGGAGTAGGGAGGGAAGAAGAAAAGACCTATAGCATAAAACTACCATTACACATCAAAATAAGGTCAAACGTGTTAGAATACACCTACAGTGAACCTTGATCTTAATGAAGCTTTTTGTTTTATTTTGTTTTGGAGCCACCTGACTAAAATTAAACTAGAATGATGCATCTCAGCTACTGTTTTTCCTGCAGCCCCGATTCTCAGCCCTGGCAGGTGTGACCTCTGAGTGGCCAGGAGTTGCACAGGACGACAGAAGACTCGGCTGGGTCTCAGGATGACAGCAGCAAGCAGATTGCTCTTCCATCTGATTCTTATCCTATTCCGTTTGGGGGCTTTTAGGGCTCAAAGTTGCATGAAGAATAATGTGCATTAAAATACTTGAGATTATCTTTTAACAATCCCAGCAAGCTCTCAGGGTTTTACCACCTTATTTTTATAACAAAGCAGGAAACAGTAAGCTGGCTGTTGCCAACATCAAATCACATGATTTATAAAGATATTTAAAAACTGAGGACTTCATTATGGAGGAGTTGGTGCTTCTAGAGAATTCCATAATTGAGTATTACTGCAGGAGCCTCAATATCCAGCTTACTTCCACCCAAATCTCCTCTTTGTCCTGACCTTGATTTGGCTGAAAACTGAGTAGACACCAGGGATGGCGCAAATGTGAGAAAAGAACGTTGGGTAAATCCAGTGATTTAAATAAAGGAAATTCTCTGTGTGATAGAAATCTACCTAAAGATTCCTACAACACCCTTCTAATGTACTTAAGTCGCTGATCACTATTCTACATTCATTGTGAGGAGCTGTGGATCTCGTCTCTCCAGTAGTGGAGAGAGACGTGGACAGGCCACCACCTTCTCTCGTCCGGCCCTCGTTGAAACTGATGAATTCACTGTGGTCTCTTTCCAGCTCGAGGTAGGCCGGTCCCTGCCATGCTAACCGCAAAGCTTTTGAACTCCTCAGTCCCCTATTCTACACTCTTCTTTGGGATGGTCCCTCAGAATATCTTCTAACGGTTGGGAGATTCAAAGATTTATTAAGCCTCTATTGAGAACTGTGCTTGGCGTTGAGAAAGACGGGGGGAAATTAAAAACCATATTTTATGACTTCTAAGAACTTGCTTAACCACAGTAATTCAGAGAAGAAGCTAGAGGCCGAAGTCTTTGAGGGAGGAGCTGCAAACTACCCGTTCACGTGGCAAGCCGAGAGGAGGGGAGAGTGGGGTACTCTGCACATCCAGCCACATAAATGCCAGTGACTTACGGGAAATGGCCACGACGGCACCCTTAACCCTAACTGAGTCGGTTTTAACCACCCTACAATGGTGCCCACATTGCTTGACACTGGGATCAAGTTACCATTTACTGAGCACAGTAACCAACACTTTTCCATGGGATCCTCCAATTCTATGGAATGGGCAGGGCAGAAACTACCTTCCCTGTTCTACAGATGAAGAGACAGAGGTCCTGAGAGGTGAAGGGACTTGCCCAAGGCCTCACAAAAGACCAGACCAGGGCTTCTGGTGCCAGCCCACTACCGCAGGGATACACACACCAATGGCCCCAATTTCATTTCTAATCTTCCAGCTTTCTTCTCCTGCTCTTCCAGCACTAGACTCTAAGTACTTCCCCATGGAAGAAGGCTATGGATGGTATTTTGTTAGGAATCTCTCCAAGGCAAAGTCCCAGGCTGGAAAAAGCAATCAGATTAACCATATGTGAAAGACACATAGGCTCACATTAGCAGAAACAATACAATGCTGGCGCCACTGTGACAAAGGAAGCAGACCAATAGATTACGAGGGCCTTGCCTGCCAGAAAGGCAGTTTGTGAACTGGCATTTGAGAACACGGATCCAGTTGATTGGTAAAACCAGCACTTAGCCAGCGAGTCCCCAGAGATGAGTGATACCTTCCTCAACAGCACCCCGTGCATCCGCCAGAGACTCGCACGCCTCAGTCACTCCCTGGGCCCCACACTCTCAGCTGCACTACCTCCAGCTCCCAAGGGGACACGGCGAGTCAACAGGTCGTACGTCGAAGGTGGCTTTCGGCATAATGATGTGATCTGTCGTGTGCTCTCTCTACACCCATAATTGCTGTGAGCCTTAATCATTGTGAGAACCAGCTGGATTGTAAACCTAGACCCTGGGAGGTTCTGGCAAGGCCCACACCTGTGTTCACAAGCCTGCACTTGCTGTGGTTCTAACGAGAAGCAAATTAAGAAGAGTAGTTTTTCCTGAGAACCCAGCTGCCAAATGTGAAATGGAATATCTAAAAGAGAGACTAGGACGCCATAACACGGATGAAACTTATGCTAAGTGAAATAAACCTGCATAAAGAAGACAAATACCGGCTGATTCCACTTACATGAGGCACCTGGAGCGGTCCAATTCCTAGAGACAGAAAGCTGCCGGAGGCCGGGAGGTGAGGGGGAAGTGGGAGTTTAATGAGTACAGAAGTTTGGTTTTGCAAGATGCAAAAAGTTCTGGAGGTTGGTTGCACAACCTTGTAAATGTACTTATCACTTAACTGAACTGCACACTTAAAAAATGGTTAAGATGGTAAATTTTATGTGTATTTTACCACAGTTACAATTTTTTTAATGTATACAGGAAAGAGGGAGGTAGAGAAGGGAGGGAGGCAATGAGAGTGGGGTGGGGACTTGGGGAGCAAGGAAGAAACAAAGAAGGGAGAGAGAGTCATAGGAAGGACTCTGGAAGAAGTACGTAGCCAGACTTGCCCATCCTAATCTAGTACTCGGGGAAGGTAGAGCTGGGCCACGCCACTCCTTAAGCAACTGATCACAGATTCCCGTCATATTCTTAGCACTGGAAACCAACAGTGATGGCAATCCCCTTGCATGTGTGACACCTGCCATCAGACTGTGTTCTCCCAGGAATAAAACAGAGCAGTTGTCAAGAAGAGGAATCCCTGAAAAAAGATCCTTGGAATTCTATTGTTCTACCATCTAACTGTGGCTAATCACCGGGAGATAAAAGAAAAACAAATCTGCTCTATGCCACACCCTAACACGGACCCCTCAGTGAAGGATGCCAGTCATTGACATTCAGAACGCAGCAACTGGGAGCAAACTGGACAGAGACATGTGTGGGAAGGTTTTGAACTTCACAGAACGTCACTCACAGTTTGAGAAGCATCACTAAGAGCACAGGTGAAAGTTCAGAGTTCTCCGGGACACTCTCGACACTTTCATAACCTTCCAAATAATAAAACTTGGGCACCTTGACAATGAAAAGGGATCTCAGTGGCCACCTGGTCCAATCCACAGTGTAGTGGAGAGAGCACAGAATTTGGACTCAGGAAATTTGTTCAAAACACAGACTGAAAGTCTTTGAACTTGTCCAAGTCTCAATTCCATGCCTGTAAGCTGGAGGCAAGTGATAGTATCTAGTGTGTGAAAACGAAACAAGATGATGGGTATAAAAAGAAGATGCTCCGTAAACTGCAGAGATCCCTGTGGTAGTCTTGATTACCAGAAAACTGCAGTTCAGAGAAGTTAAGCGACGTGCACAAAGCCACACAGCAACATGGCGGCAGTTCGCAGCTGGGTGCCACACTGTGTCCCAGACATTGTCACTTGGCTCTTTTCTCCATTCCTTGACGGATGAGGTGACTGCACCTCCCGTCTATCTTCCCCTTTTCTTTTAAGGATGGTTTGAGATCTTTGGTTTGAGATGATAGTCTCGTATGATCTGTAGTCCAAAGTAGCAACAAACAATTTCTAAAAATCAATGGGCTGGAAGAAGCAGCTTTACAGATGCCACCTCCTCTACAAGAGGCTAAAAAAGGACAACT